GATAAGGCTCTCAGACATGCCCCCCCCCCAGTGCAGCCCAGAGAAGCAGCCCCCACCTGCAATGACTCTTTCCACGGCGTATTCAAAATTGAAGGTGTCGATGGATTTGTGTCCTTCCCTCGCCGCATGCAGAGCCGCCTCGTTGCAGATGTTGGCGATGTCGGCTCCTATGGGCAGAACAGTGGACGCAGCGGGTGATTCAGCGGCCACCAAGCCCTTCCGCTCTCCCATTCCCCCCACAGATCCACCCATACCGTTCAAACAGTGGTGCACCGTAGGTAGGACACCATCCGCAACCCACACCGCCTGGGAAAGATGAAGAGCAGACAGCTGCCACAGGCGACTCCGCCACTCCAGCAGAGCCCCACCACTGACAACGGAAAGCCAGAGCAGTTGTCCAGATCACCACTTGTCTACCTGACTTGGACCTCCCCTTCCAGACCTCCAAAAATAAGGCAATCAGCATGAAGCCATCCTCCCTGTTTGTGAAAACTGATGAGGTCTGTTCCCCCTCCCAGCACCCTCTCTGTGCCGCAACGATCCCTGGCAGCAGCAGGACCAAGTGGGAGGGGACAGGGAAGGAGAATGCAAAGGGAGAGGAGAGCACATCCAACACGCGCCGACTTTACAGGCAGGGGCCATCAGAGAACGCACGGCTTCTGCGCCGTTTAAGCTGGAGTTCGGCCACAAGACAAGCCTGGCTGGCCACGCCAGGATGCCCCACGGGGGACAACAAAGAGTGACTCCGGCACAGTCTCAGGCCGAGGTGAGCGAGCACGGACAGCCCAGGACCACCGAGGCCCACTGGGCTGTTTTCCTGACCACGGCCACGCTGGCCTCTCTGGGGAAGAGCAAACATCTGTTCTGAGTGTGTGGGTGGCGTGGGGGCCGCTCACAAAGTCATGCAAGAGGCAGACAGTGGGGGCCGGGCGGGGGGGGGGAGAACGCACACAGGATACGGCACACAGTCACGGCACAGACAGGAAATCCAGAGCAAAGGGTTGAATGTAGCTCGGAGGCTGGGGGGCCCAGGATCTGGAGGACGGGCCAAGCCCCACCCGTTTCTTAATCTGGGAAAGCTGCGTTAAAAAATGCTGGACCATAAACCTTCCCCCAGTTCATGGCCCTGATTCCCTCCGTGGTAATTTCCAGAAGGCACAAACACAGGAAGCCGCTCCCGTCCCACAGAAAGCAGGGTCACACAGGGTGCGCATGGTCAACTCTCCTTCCCACAGAAGCAGGGGGGCAAGAGGGGGGCTGGAAGCTTAGCGGGTTCATGGATTCCAAACAAACCCCTAAGAGGCGTTTGTTGAGAGTGTTTCCCCTGAGAGGCTCTGGCCCAGCTCTCCTCAGCCAGCTCTTCTGGTGCAGAGGGAAGCCATGGCGGCGGGGAAGGGGGGGGGGAGCCAAGCTGAAATCGCATGAAGCCCCGTGATGGAAAGCAAAGAAGGCAGCCTGGCAGCAGCCAGGCTCACCTACCGCTGAAGCCCGGAGTCAGTTCGGCCAGCCGCTGGGAATAGAAGCTGCCCACCTGGGATAACTTCAGGCCCTTCAGGTGCTGCTCAAAGATCTCCCTCCTCTCCTGCAAACAAAGAGGATGTTGCTGTGGGGTGGGGATGTTAATGGGAGCCACCATAGCACGGAGGGACTTTTTACTTCCTTATCCTTTGGGTGGTCTGGGCAGGAATACAACCACGGAACGCTCCTGCCATCCCCTGTCCAGCGCCTACTGGATGCTGCGATTCTGGCAGAGAACACGGAGCCTGATTCCGCAAAGTACTCGTCATGATCTCCAGGTCTCCTAACCATTAAGGCACAACCAATCTGGATTAAGAGACCCTGGGCCTGCATACACTCGCGATGCCGTTTCACTGAAGGCACTGAAGGCAGAGGGAGACGAGGTGGCAATCTGGTACCCCTCCGTCCAAGTCTGGATCTAGACAGTCCAAAGTGTCTCTTTCACTAACATCACTCTTGGGTTGTAGTTGCTACTAACTTGCATTGGGAGCCCGTCTTTGGAATGGAAAACAGGGCTTAAAAATAAATAAAACAATAAGCAGTACTTCTGCAGAAAAGTTTCAAAGGGCGGTTCCAGAGAGGAACTACTGAGCGGATGTAGTTTGGTGTCGTGGTTAAGTGTGCGGACTCTAATCTGGGAGAACCGGGTTTGATTCCTCACGCCTCCAATCACAGCTGCTGGATGACCTTGGGCAAGCCATAGTTCTGTCAGAGCTGTGTCAGCTATGCTGCCATGGGGGTTGGGGAGCTCATTCTGTGTCTTGTTAAGTGCTATTGCATTCCTATCCCTGCTGTTATGCCTTTGCTGAAACGCTTATCTCTACAGATGTGCAGGAGGAGGTTGTGTTGTCTGGAGAGCTCCTATGTACCGTGAGAGACTCCGAGTTCTCAGCTTTAGCAACCTAACGGTTGCCTGACTTATCCCGTGCGCGGGAGGGGTGCCTAATTGGCCAATGCCATGGGGGGTGTGTGTGTGTGCGCATACGAATACCCTATATCCTATTATGCTCTACTGGCTGTGGCCATTCTTAACAGTGCCTGCGTTACTGCATCTATAGCTTTGCAATAAAAGTATAACCGTTCCTGAATGCGTGTACTTCGTTGTTAGCTGTGGGTTCTCAGGAGCATTCCTTGAAAGAGCTCTCTCAGGCTCACCTACCTCACAGGGTGTCTGTTGTGGGAAGGGGAAGGGAAAGGAGATTGCAAACTGCTCTGAGACTCCGAGTGAAGGGCGGGGTATAAATCCAATCCCCTCCTCCTCCTCCTCCTCCAGATTTGATACAATCAGACCTGGACTCAACAGAGAGTTGGGTAGCTAGCCCACTTGAAAGGGTAGTTCAGTCTTGACTGTATCCTATTTCCACCTGGGTTCCATAGCATAAGGTCGCACACCTCGTCCAGGGCAACTCAGCCTTCTGACCACCCCCAGTACTTCCCCCCTGCCCCACTCCTCCTGCTGTTTGTAGCCCAGGGTATAAATCTCTCCGCAAACTGAATGCAACACTCGATGCATCTGATGAAGGGAGCTCTGGCGCGTGAGAGCCTCTCCTCCAATAAAGTAATTGATCTTTAAGATGCCACAAGCCTCTCCACTACATGAATGAGAAACCACACCATCAGTGAGCTGCACAGGATTCTAGTTTTTTAAAAAAAAAAAATTTCAAAGCTGAAGCCAGCTGATTCCTGCTCCAAACTATTGATCCTTCATTAAGATAAAACTTTTCCCAGTTCAGAGGTTTCTTTGCTCATCATAAGGTAAACAGAAAGGCGGCGCAATCTGGGAAGAAGCAAAAATGCAAAAAGAGGGGGCTGGGCCAGACCAGAATGCCGGTCTGACTACTTTTCCTGCAAGGGACAGGAGCAGAAAGGTCACTGCCGGCCGAAATACCGGCTGCAGGCTCACAGGAGAGCCAACCCGGGAGAAGCCCCAGGCAGAGCTGGTGGGGCCGCTACAGACCGCCTCCACGGCCTGGGTCAGCCCCCGCCAGGAGAGCCCTTGGCTCCCAAGTGGGATCTGTGGCCCAAGAGAAGGTACCTGAAAGGTACGAAGGTGTGGCTATTCCTCGGCAATGCCAGCAGGGGGCAGGATCTCCCAAGGCACAAATGCAACTTTGGGCTTCTTTCAAATGCAGGGCAGATGCACGGAGACTTACAAGGAGGAGCGATTGCCTCATCCCTCCAAAGGTCATTTCTCCCTCCCCCCCTCCACATTAATTTTAATTTATTCCTTAACATTCCTGTCACCACAGCGCTTGCATGGAGCACGGAGGCCTCGCAGATGCTCTCCCGCCCCCCACTTTAAATGCGGGGGGAGGAAATTAGCAAAGCGGGGGGGGGGGGGAAGCTAGATCAGGTTGGCTGGGGCCCAGCATATGACTCACGCAGCTGGTCCGGGCAGCCCTGCTGATGGCAGTGGGCTCAGCTGCCAGGGGTTCCTTCCCCTTCCTCCGCCGGGGCACAGCTAGCTCACTGTTCGGGCACCAGGTCCTATCGGGCAGTTTAAGCAAAAACCTCAAGGAACAGGAGAGCAGAGACCAAGTGGGGAGGGGAGAGGAGATACTGGGCCAGCTCACTGCCCAAGGGGTGGGGGGCCCCTCTCATTTGTGAACCTTCTAGAGGGAGAGGAGGAGCAGCAGCCACACATAGGATTATAGTGGGTGGGTGGGTGGGCATCCTATAGCATCCAGGGAATTTTCTGGGGTGGGTGGAGTAATGAATGATCTGGCACCAGGTGTTTGGCACCGAGGGATGAGCAAGGAGCCGAAGGGAAGCCCTGCATGCAGGAGGCGTCATCCCTGCTGTCTCCAGGAAATAAGAGTTGCCAGACAGTGCCTTGTTGTGAGCGGGGGGTGGGGGGAGCAACCCAAGAGAAAAATCAAGAGGAAAAATTAGGCCTTGTCTACTTACTAGAAATCCTGACCATAGAGTTTCTGGTGATTCCTAGAGCTACCCAGAAGTTACAAGAGTAGCTCTAGCAATTGTCAGAAACTCTATGGTAGCTCTAGGAACTGTCAGAAGCTCTGTGGTCAGAACTTCCTGTAAGTACATATGGAGCAGAGGTTCATCAGTGGCTATTAGCCACAAGGTATAGATAGGAACTCTCAGGCTGGGGCAAGAGATGCCCTGTATTCTTGGTGCTTGGGGGGTGAGATCTGGGGCAAGGGATGCTCTGTATTCTAGGTGCTTGGGGGGGGGCAACAGTGGGAGGGCTTCTAGTGTCCTGGCCCCACTGCTGGACCTCCTGATGGCACCTGGTATTTTTGGTCACTGTGTGACACAGAGTGTTGGACTGGATGGGCCACTGGCCTGATCCAACATTGGCTTCTCTTATGCTCTTACTTGAGGGCTTATTTTTCTTTCTCATGTTTCCTCCCAGGATGACTGCCTCCCCACTTCTGGCCTGTTTCCATCAGCTGAGTATTGGCCAGCAAGGGCTGTGATCGGGCGGAGGTCTCCGGCCACAAGCAGGCAAACGGAGCCTCAGGCAGCAAGAAACCTGCCTGGACCTCCCAGTCAGCACCTAGATGGGCGGAGGCACCAACAGCCTGACTGGGTCAAGCAGCCTTATAGGAACAGGCTTTTTTTTAACACAGGGATTGTAAATATTATAGGAGGCACAGTTTTATGAAACACAGCCTCAAAAAGGGCCAGGACAGGACGGGGGAGGGCAAGAACCCAAGTTCCCACTGGAGCTCCAGGGGAGGGTGGCTGAAAGCTCCACACAGTGTGGAAAAACAGCAACGATGTGATGTGTTTCCCCTTCTGCTGCCATCTTCCACCCGCAGGGGAAGACTTCTCTGTTTTGTCTGGCAGTCTCTCAGGGACCCCTTCTCCCCGCCCAGCCTTTTAACTGCTGTTTCAATGTCTTTGTATGCAGTTTTGACTCTGTTTTTCATTGTTTTAATGATGTGTGTTTGGGAGGGTTTTTTAATTTTAATGGTTTTAATACATAGTTTTATCGTGTGTGCTTTCAACGGTTTAGCCGCCTTGGGGGCCCTTGTGAGGGGGCAGAAAGGCGGGACGGAAATTTTGTGAATACATAAATAAACAATCTGAGTCCCACTATTGCTGTGGGTTGAGGAGACCAAAGGTGAGAGGCAGAGGCGTTCGCAGGACCCAGGCCTGCCTACCAAGCCGTTGTGACAACTGCAACGCACCCCCAGGACTGGAATCTAGACGTCAGCGAGGGAAGTGGGCCCAGATCATACCTGCAGGGTGGGCAGGTCGATAAAAATGTGACGATCGAGCCGCCCGGGTCTCATGAGAGCGTTGTCCAAGATATCCGCCCGGTTGGTGGAGGCCAGCACGATGACGTGGTCCGTGGTCCCCATGCCTGCCAAAGAGAACGAGGGAGGAGTGAAACCGCAGGGACTCTGCCCAGGGCAAGCGGGCCCGGGAGACCGCCTTCCCCCAGGGTGGGCAACACTGCAGGGCAAGCATGCAGCCAAGATGCTGCTGAGTCGTGATCTGAGAAGCCCACCAGGGCAGAGGCACGCTAGAGGCCCCGACCACTGGACTCCCCACGGCCTCCTTTAAACAGTTCATCGCGTTGCGTGAGACAGCGAGGAGAGCGTAAGATACTAGACATCACACTATCCTTGCAACTCCGGTGCTGCCGAGGAAACAGACCTTGACGTTAACTGGCATTCAGACAACCTCCGTAACAACTCTGCCATTTACCTCTTTCGTCCACCTTGCCACAGTTCTCTCAGCCACTCAGCAGCTGCTGGCATTTCTTGAAACCTTTCTTTTTTTACAGGCCTGTCTTAGCAGTAACGGCTGCAAACAGCCGCTCGACAACACTCCCAGAGCCGAGGGCAGATGCAGCTGTTCCAGCGCGCACGGCAAACTCTTGGGGGAAAGGCAAGATGGGCTCGACTTGCCTCTGTTAAAATAAAGCCGCCCTAGACGGCTGGTCGGAGGCTTGCGTCTTTCCAAGGCTGCCCACTGGGGGACTCCCTCCACCCCCACCCCCTTCTGCCTCCCTGCAGGGTGCTGTTGAGGCAAGCACTGAAGAAGGAGGAAGCACGAACACTTTCCAGGGCTGGGGAGAGAGGCGCTGGGGCCAGTCACGTGGGCTGAGCTCAGCTTCACTCCCATGGCCAGATTAGCGCAAGCCGATCGTTAGCTGCTTCGCTGCTGGGAAGACGCACTCCCAAAATAGATGCACCACCAGACACGACATGCAGCCTTGCTGTCCTTGCCACGGGCACGCGTGGGTGTGGGAGTGGGGGGGGGGGGGGGGGGAGGCTGTGGGAGGAATCCTTCGGATTGCACAATGAGCCCCTCCCATTCTGCCCCGCCCCCTCTTTGTGCACGGATGGCTCAGTCACCAGCATGTCTAGGGCAAAGGAATAAAGGCAAGGGTAGAAGGAAGGAGACAAGGCAGCAGGAAAGATGCTCCCACCCCACCCGAGGCACACAGGAAAGAACAAAAGGTGTCCAAGCAGGACAGAGGGGCTCAAAGGGACTCCCTGGTTGCGTCCAGGGGCCACCGGCTCTTTAAACCAAGGAGGTGTTTGAAACTCACACTGCCCTAGCTGCTTCCATCCGATGGGTGGCAAATGCAAACAGCTGTTTATGCCACGTCCCAGTATTTGTGCCCTGGCTCTCCTGCTAGGAGCCGGCTGCGGAAGCAAAGGGGCCAGAAATCGCAGCACAACAATGCTTAGCGTAACGCTTCCCTTAAACTCCCCAAAGAACTGCTCCCGAGAGCATATGGGAGGCAGGAAGACACAGGTTGGGAGGGAAACAGCAGACAGATGATGCACATCGGAGAGCACCCAGCATCTGCATTCGTCCCCACTGCAGCTTTACAGATTTAGCATCAACACAGGAGTCTGGCAGGCTCTCACCAGCAGACAGAAGCATCTCTCTTGGTGCTGTTTGCAACCAGGCAGTGGGACCAGCTATCCTGCTACAGATGGGGTGCAGCTTCCCGGGAGGAGGGTAACCTCATGGCAAAAGGCTCGTCTCTTTTCCTGCCGGAGGGAATACATTCCTGAACACCTCCCTCCAGGGGATAAGTCTGAGCCACTGACCGTCCATTTCCACCAGCAGCTGGTTTAAGGTCTGCTCTTCCTCGGTGTTGGAAAAGCCAGCCATGTTGGTGGAGCGCTTCTTCCCCACGGCGTCGATTTCGTCGATGTAGACGATGCAGGGCGCCCGGGCACGGGCTTCTTTGAAGAGGCTCCGCACACGGGCAGCCCCGAGACCTGCAGGAGGGCAAGGGACAACTTCTTAGAGAGCTGCTATAAAATGATCTGCCAGGTGGCGGCAGAGAGCAGCAGCCGGCGGAATCCCCAAAGCTTTCTGCCGGGCGCTCTCTCCCACCCTGGGTCCCCTCTCAAACCGAGCCACCCTTACTCTCCACTCAGAACCGAGATCCCAGTCAGAAATTTAGTCAAGCATCAGTGTCTTGTAAGCAGATGGCCAACAGGAAGGGACGGTGGGACAACCGGTGGGATCAGAGCCACCAAGTGGCTGAGAGAGCATACCAGAGAAAGATCAGAGAGCCAAAACGCAGCCCTGCTTTAGCACCAGAGAAGCCGGTAAGCAGGAGGCCCTCCTGTATGTGAGGCCGCAGAGAAGCGAAGCTCTCTTTCTGGTGGGCAACATACATTTCTCAGAAGCAGAAATGTATGTTTGTTTTGTTTCAGGGGGGTGCCAGGTGGGTGCCCACCAAGTCTCTCTTCCAGCAGACCCCCAAATAAGACAGTCCCCAAGTCAAGGGAAACTGTCATGGGAGGGAGTCAGATCTTCCCACGTAAGAAAAAGAAGAAGAAGAGATTGGATTTATACCCCATGGCCCTTCACCACCCAAGGGAGTCTCAGAGCGGCTTCCAGTCTCCTTTCCCCTCCCCTCCCCACAACAGGCACCCCCTGTGAGGTAGGTGGGGCAGAGAGAGCGGCTCTTGAGAGAACAGCTCTGCCAGAACTTTGGCTTGCCCAAGGTCATCCAGCAAGTGCAAGTGGAGGAGCGGGGAATCAAACCCGGTTCTCCCAGATTAGAGTCCGCGCACTTAGCCACTACACCAAACTGGCCGTCATGTTTCCCCGAGGTGACAAGTGGATTCTCATGCAGGCTGCCCTCCCAGAGTCCCCAAAGCAGCCTAGAGCCAAACTCTATTTTGCAAGAACACAGACTGCAGAGGCCACACTCCTTCTGTGTAGGTGCGGTGCCGAGCACCCTGCTGGCTGCGAGCAACTGTCAAGCAACAGACCAGCCACTTGAGAAACAGGGCAAAGGCTGCACATGCTGACTGTACCCCAAGGGGCAGCTGGGACTTCCCAGGACTCACCTCCGATCACCTCTACGAACTCAGAGCCAGCCATCGCCAGGAAAGGCACCTGTGCCTCCGTCGCCACCGCTTTGGCCAGCAGGGTCTTGCCGCAGCCCGGGGGGCCAAGCAAGAGGGCCCCTTTGGGCACTTTGGCTCCCAGCTGCAGGTAACGCTCCGGGCTCTGGAATCAGAAGAAGGCAGGGGTTTCGCTGGACCCTTGCACGGCAGCATCGGCCAGGGGAGGGCACCAGTCCCAGCTTCCTAAACGCTCTCCCTTGCTCCGGACAAGGTTCTGGAAGCAGCCTCCCAGTCAAGGCAGCTGCCACCGTCCTCTCTCGCTCAGACAGAAGCCCTCTCCTGCCACACAGAGCTGACCAGAGCCACCCCCTTCTCAGGGCACCCCCTGGGCCAGGTGGCTGAAAGACCCCCCCCCCCGTGACCCTGCTGCTCTCAGCCAAAGACCCAAGAGGGCCCCTGCCTCGAACCAACCACTTGCTGAGCTCCTGGTGACCTCAAGGCAACAGCACTCCCCGGCGGGGCAGGGCAGGGCAGGGGAAGAGCACCACAGAGCTGCCCGGGGCATTCCCCCCCCTCCCCACCACACACACTGACACCCCACTGACACCCCCCCCCCCGTGCTCCTCTGCCCCAGGGGGCATTTGCAGTCCTTACCTTCAAGTAATCCACAAACTCCTTGACCTCCATCTTGGCCTCGTGCATTCCCGCTACATCCTTGAAGCTGATTCCTTTCCCGGATTTGCCGTCCACCACCGTGAAGCGGGCCATTTTCAGCTGATTCTGAGGAGGGAGAGAAAGAGCCCTGGAGGCCCAGGCCACGAAAGAGTCCCCCTCTCCCCCTGAGCTCCAGGCAGCACTCTCCAGCCCTGCGCCTGCTCCCTTGGGCCACTTCCCCCATTTTGGAATTCTGCCGCCCCTCCTCCCCGCAGTGACCAGGCAGGGCCTATGCTGACTCAGCTGTCGTCTGGACCCATGCGGCCAGTTGGAGAGGCAAACGGACGGCCACCGCCACCAGACCGCAGCCAAAACCAACCCGATGTTCGGGCCAGAATCCCCGCCTCCTCCCCTTCAGCGGGGAGGGCTGGGCCCCCGTGGCCCGTTCTCATCTGGCCCAAGCAGCTCCTTGGCTCCTGGAGGGCTGCCCGAATGAAACCACAGGCGTGACAGGGCAGGTCAGTGAGAGAGCAGCCGGGCCCACGCTCCAGCCTCCGTGAGATCACACGACAGACAAAACGACCCTTTAGCCCTACACCCTTGGCCGTAACTGCTTGTTACTCTTCGACCCAAACGGCTACGAATGCTGGCTTTTCCACTCAGCCTGAAGCAGGCGGTGACAGACGAGGTGCACACACACAAGATAGCCGTCTGAAGGAAGGGGACCAGGAGCCCTGAAACCCTGCAGGAAGCTTCCTGGTGTCTCGCTTCCTCGGATGTCATCCCGGGGATGGGGCCAACAGGCCCACGGGAGGACTGGGGCAGCTTCTTGCCCCATCAGCCTTCCTGGCCAGGCGGGCAGAGGTCACCAGCCTCTCCCCAGCTGACTGGTCAGCAGGGGGCTGGCCGGTGCTGAGACGGGAGCACAGGACAGGAGGAAAGGAGGCCAGAACACAGCACCGGCCGAAAGCTTAGGCAGCTTTAAAGGCTGAAAAGTTATTTGGCTCAAGGCGAGGGGATTTGTGTGCGCGCCGCGGCCTGTGAGATCTGCTGGCAAGACAAAGGCAAACGCAAGGCTGTTCCCAGCTGCAAGTCATTAGTCAGTTTTGCAAACAGCCGAAAGAACCGGCTCTGCAATTCCCTGAGCTCAGCCCCTCCAGCCTAGATGGAAAGTGGGAACCCCCCCCCCACCCATGCACAAGCAAGACCGAAGACTAAACAGCCCCATCAGCACGTGACCGCCCAGGTCTTTGGCCTGGCTTCATTCCCACCCGTTGTTGTGTTTGCTGGGGGGGGGGGAGGCAGGCCCACCCAAAAGGAGAGCTACTTACAAAGGCGCTGAAGCCCCCTTCCCTTCCGGCCATTCCAGCCAGGCGGAAGATGTACCAGAGGATGCCGACGCCCACCGCTGCCATCCCCAAGGCATAGAGGGCGCTGCGGAGTCAAGCGAAAGCCGGGATTAGGCCTGAGCAGGTGGTCCCTGATTCACTTCGGGACCCCAAAATGCAGCTGGTGCTGTGACCGGAGGGGGGGACCAGGGGAGACTGGCGGGGACGACGACAGAGGGCTTTTCCAGCCACTGGCAAAACACACAGCTCCGAGTCCAGCAGCACCTTAGAGCCAGTTTAGTGTAGTGGTTAAGAAGAAGAGGAAGAGATTGGATTTATACCCCTTGCCCTTCACTTCCCAAAGGAGTCTCAGAGCGGCTTACAAACCCCTTTCCCTTCCCCTCCCCACAACAGACACCCTGTGAGGCAGGTGGGGCTGAGAGAGCTCTGACAGAAACTGCTCTTTTTCAAGGACAGCTATGACAGAACTATGGCTTGCCCAAGGTCATCCAGCAGCTGCAAGTGGAGAAGTGGGGAATCAGACCCGGTTCTCCCAGATTAGAGTCCGTGCATTTAACCACTACACCAAACTGGCTCTAATCCAAGCACTTAACCAGTTTGCCCCGGTAAGGCGGGATACAAACCTAAAGTAATAAATAAATACACCAAACTGGCTTTAAGTGTGCGGACTCTAATCTGGGAGAACCGGGTCTGATTCCCCACTTCTCCACTTGCAGCTGCTGGATGACCTTGGGCAAGCAGTAGTTTTGACAACAGCTGTTCTCTCAAGAGCAGTCCTCAAAAGAGCTCTCTCAGCCCCACCTACCTCACAGGGGGGCTGTTGTGGGGAGGGGAAGGGAAAAGAGATGGTAAGCCACTCTGAGACTCTGAGTGAAGGGCAAGGGGTATAAATCCAATCTCCTCCTCTTCTTCTTCAACAAGATTTTGGGGATTGGAGCTCTTGAGAGCCAAAGCTGTCTTTGACAGAGACCCGTCATTTGGCTCTTTCCACCCACCAGGGCCTCTCTTAACAGGGGAGGGGTGCAATTAAGCAAACAGGGCCAGTGAATACGGCTGCCACGCGAGCCCCACACAAGCCCCTCCAACTGTGCTGCTGCTGCAGCCTGGTGGATGGCTCCCAGGACACTGCCAGGCAAGCGAGGGGCAGGGAGACCGAGACACAGCTGGGCAGCAGGCCCCACGCTTTAGGGTGCTGGAGGGTGCCGTTGTGTGTGTGTGTGTGGGGGGAGGTGACTGGGGGGCTTGGGTCTTGCTGAAGGACCGACTATCGTCACCCCCAAGGCACTGTGACGGCTTGCCGCTCTTTTCACATACGGAACACAATGATAAAAGACCTGGCCTGGCATCCAAGGACACAGCAGTGGAGAGCGTTCTCATCCGCCTGCATCCTGCACCCCCTCGCCAAACTCCTTTGGCTCGGCTGCTGCAAAGCATGGGGTGCAAAGGCTGGAGTAGAGATGTGAGGGCCTGGAAAAAAAACCGGAAAAATTCGGGAAAAAACCCGTTTTTTTCCTGAAGCCTTTTTTTTGTTTTTTTCCGAAAAATTGGAAAAATTGAAAAAAGAAAAGGAAAAAAAAATTGATTATGGAACGTTTTATTTTAACATGGTGAATAAAATATTTAAGACAAGGTGTTCAGATATTTTCCAAATCATTTCTAATATATATATATATATATATATATATATATATGGTATCAGATTGATCTAATTTCTGTGCACTGAGGACAAGCAAGTCCTAGGTGACAAACTGAACTCTCCAATGCAAGAACAAGATGCATTTCTTTCTTTAGGAGGTGCTATTGTCACAAGAAAATTAAAAGGTTTCAGTTTTGTTTTTGCATGTAGGTGGGTATTCTGTTTGTAATAATTGTTTGGATACACTATATTTTAATATCCTAGTTGTGATAATTTCATGCCAAGTAAAAATGTCCATAGTCATATTTTATGTTCCTAAAGTAACAGAATGACTTTCAATCTAGAAAAGACAAAAGAAATGCTAATGTAGCATTTTTTTCAATTTTTCCAAAAATTTCCGTTTCTCCATAAAAAAAACTGGAAAAAACCCGGGGTTTTTTCCGAGCTTCAAAATTTCTGGAAATTTTGCATCTCTAGGCTGGAGTCTGGGACAGGGGACCTGGCCGTCCCACATTCTGTGCAAAGGGCAAAGCAGGGCTGAAGTCGGTTTCCTTCTCCCCCAGAGGCGGCGGCTGCTGCAGCTGCTCCGGGCACTGCCCAGCTGCTCTTCAGGGAGTTTTACGTGTGTGCCGGGAACTGCTCAGTCACAACCCTCCACATCTAGTCATTCACCAAACGCATTACGATTGGGCTCCTCCTCTAAGAAACAAATCCTGTTTGGCAGCAGCAACAGAACTGCCCTCTTTGGACTCCCTAGTCCATTCTCATTGCAAAACACGGTCATCGTGGAACAGTCAAGAGGAATGAGGGATTGGTTAAGATTTTTGCAGCCAGCAGAGAAGACCTGAAAGTCCTCGATCCTGGCTCCTGGGGATCAGTCAAGCCTTTTGTTTTCCTGTCAGCTCTGACAATAACCCAAACCTGACTGGATGCATAAGAACAAATCCCCTAACGGCAGGGCAAGGTTTTCCTAGGGAACTGCTGGAAAACACACACAGATTACTGCAAAAGAATGGTTTACAGGCATCCTTCCTTCAATCTTTTTTTTTTTTTTTTACTATGCGGAACCTTGTCAGCCAGAGACTACAAGATTCCATAAATCACTTTTTGCCAGTGAAAATTGCTGGTTTTAATGGGAGAGCAAGTAAACTGCTTCAGAAGGAAGGAAACTACAGCAGGTTGGTGCTTGCTAGTGGCCAGACAATAAGCACACACCATGTGCCAAGCCGGCTCTCCCACCGCCTTTCGTTTTGTTTTTTCAACCTGCCTCCCGTCTCCTCTTCATTTCTGACGCAGACTTTACGGGAGCGCTGAAAGCATTAGCCTTTGTGGAATCTCCGGGAGAATGGACCCGGCTTCTGTGTAAGAGAGTCCCTACATCCAACGGCAGGACTTGCTTCTCATTGACATTTGGGATTTTATTATCAAAGTGGCTTCTGCTCAGTGTGGGGCTATGAGTCAGTGTCCGCCTGCAGTACGGTCAGCCGTTGTTCTCATGGGCAAAAGC